GCGACAGGGCCTTGGCTGGGGAACGTTCCCTCGCATAAGTAATGGATAACTTAGGATTGCATGTTGCCCGGGCACCAAGTGCAAGCCAGGAAACCTCGAAGGACATCCTTCCGAGTTGCTGATCCACGTAATGGCCCATGTTGGCCTCCGCCTCCTCCTTTTTGTTTTTCCTTCTCCTGCTCCTTCTCCTGCTTCTTTGCCTTTTTCGCCTCCTTTTTCAATCGTTGTTTTTCCTTCTTCTCTTCCTTCTTCTTTTTCTTTTCATCCCTTTTTATCTTCTCCTTATTGTTCTTCCCCGCTTCGGACTTCCCCTTTCCTTTGCCCTTGCCCTTCTGGCTCTTCTGCTCAGGCTTCTGCTGAGGCACCGGCACATCCTTGCTGCTGCTGGCCGGCTCAGGCCTTTTGCTCTTGTCCTCAGCCAAGCCCTCGGCCGGCTCAGACTTCTTCACCTCCTTGCTGCTGTTGGCCGGGTCAGGCTTCTTGGCCTCCTCCTTGCTTCCACTGGAAGGCTCAGACGTCTTGCTCTTGTCCTCCTCCAAGCCCTCTGCCAGCTCAGACTTTTTGGCCTCCTCCTTGCTGCCACTGGCCGGGTTCACCTTATCGGTTTTTTTTGATTTGTTCTTTTTTTCCTCCTTCTCAGTCTGCTTTGTCTTTGCCTTTTCAGCCTTCGCCTTCTCCTTCTTTGCATCAGGCTTTTTTTTGCCTTTCTTTGCCTCCTCCTCCTTCTTTTTGATGGCCGCCGCTTCCTCCTCCTCCTTTTTCTGGGCCTTGCTCCGCTCCTCCTCCTCCTGGGCTTTGCGTTTCCTATTGGCCTTCCTCTTTGCCGGGTTCGGCTTTTTCCTTTGCTGCCTCAATGCAGTCACAGGGACAACAATGACAAGAATGAATGAGACAAGAATGAATGACTGCAACAGTCCGTCCGCCTGCCCGGCTCAGCCAACCAAGAGCACGTGCTTGAACTTGAGCTTGAACTGGAGCTGGAGCTGGATGATGTCATTGCTCAGGCAAGGCTCAGGCACGTGGAACTACTTGCGAAAATGTAATTATGATCAGCCTTGTCAAACTTATTAAAACTCGGCGATCAGTCAGTAGTTAGTCAGTCAGGCTTCAGCCGCATGCCCATGATCATCGGACTCCATGAACATCTTTCTGTCTGAGCAGTTGCCCGCAGCATGCAAAGCAAGGACATTCAGTGACATCCGCAATCCACACACAACAATGCGAAAAAAGCTTCAAAGGGCAACGGCATGCAGACAGCACACGGTCCTCGATTGAAAGTTCTCGATCCTTGTCGCGATCTCCAGCCTCAGCATCGTCCACACAGACTGTATTGCTTAATGGGTAATTGAAGTCTCACAAAAGTGCAGAAGTTGGGCACCACACAACCCCCATCGGACCTCCGTCAGACAAGGGTGCATGCATCACGTGAAGTCAAACCAGCTGCAACGGGAGCTCCACATCAAAGCGCCAGCACCTCAGGTCAGGCCTCGGTCACAATGAACATTGAAGAGTGCAGTCAATCATAGTGCGACAACTAACTAGGTTCTCAGTCTCGCACCGCAGACCATCGGACCGTCATCGAGTTCAGGCCTGAGACAAGCAAACAAAAGTTGGTCGGTATCCTGAGAAGCAGCACACCAGGTCTCTCGCTCGCATCATCCACCGCCCGCGGACTGTCCGAGGTGACCTCAACAGAGGATGACACAAGGGTGCAATCGAACAAAAGCAGCAATCGCCTGGCACCTCGCATCATCATCCAGTGGAGTGGATCCAAGCTCACAGGCCTCAAAAACAAAGCAGTGCAAACAAACTATTGTCCCAAAGCATGTAGCACTGCCGGAACCTCCACGTCATCCAAAGTCAGGCCTCAATGGGGCAGAAGCGAGTGAGTGATTCAGTCAGTGAGTGATGAGCGAGTGAGTCATTGAGTGAGCGAGTCAGCGAGTGAGTGAGGGAGTGAGTGAGTGATTGAGTGAGTGAAGGAGAGAGTGAGTGAGTGATTGAGTGAGTCATTGAGTGAGTGAGCGAGTAAGTGAGGGAGTGAGTGAGTGATTGAGTGAGTGAACGGGAGAGTGAGTGAGTGATTGAGTGAGTCGTTGAGTGAGTGAGCGAGTGAGTGAGGGAGTGAGTGATTGAGTGAGTGAACGAGTGAGGGAGTGAGTGATTGAGTGAGTCATTGAGTGAGTGAGCGAGTGAGTGAGGGAGTTAGCGATTGAACGAGTGAGGGAGTGAGTGGGTGATTGAGTGAGTGAACGAGCGAGGGATTGAGTGAGTGATGGAGTGAGTGAGTGATTGAGTGAGTGAGTGAATGATTGAGTGAGTGTCATTACGCTGGCTCAATCACAAACAATGAGTGCCTGGCCGCTAAGTGAAGGAGCATCAGAATCGTGGTCAGGCCTCAGTAATTATGGGCCAAGAAGCCCCTGGCCATAAAAAGAACCCAAAAGCCACCCTGAAGCTCCCCAAACCCCAGCCGGAAAAGAAATCATTCAAACTCCGAAGCTACTACTTAATACTTAATCACAAGGGGTTAAGGAACCCGGGGTCAAAATTCCGAACGGGTTTAGGGCTTAGGGTAACCCCATTCAGACCGGCCGGCACACGCAAGTGGCCGGCTCAGGCCGATGCACCGGCTTTGGGGTTCGGACGGCGTCGGAGCCGGCTCACGAAGAACCGGCAACGAGCCTGACCGAGACCCCAAGCTCAGGCGCTGACGATCGGCGTCGGAGCCTGGCTCACAAGGAGCCGGCAACGAGCCTGATCGGAGGACTCGGAAGCCAGGCTCACGAAGAGCCGGCTCCCAAGACCTCTAGCTCAATCGGCTGGAGACAGGCTCACGAAGAGCCGTCTCCTGCCAGACTGAGCGGGGACCCCGAGCCAGGCTCACGAAGAACCGGCAAGGGAGCCCCAAACAATCATGCGCACGGGGCAACTGGGGCTAAAGCTGGGGGGGGAGAACCGAGGCTTAGGGGCGCCACCTACCTAATTAATTAATCCCTCAGGCGCCGGCACAAAATGAGGAAGAGGTCGAGGAAGGCGAAAGCTAGGACGTCTGGGACTTTTAGGGTTTGGGTTTTAAGGTTTTAGGGTTTATAGGGTTTAGGGATTTAAGGTTTTGGGATTAGGGCTGGGTTTTACGGTTTGAAAAATGAAAGGGTTTAGGGATTTAGGCTGTTGGGTTTAGGGATTAGAGGTGGAGAAGGTAAGATGATGGTCTACGTAGGGTTTAATTACGGGTTTGGTGTTTAGGCGTAAGAGGCTTGGGGATTTTTGAAGTTTCGAGTTCGGTGCTTAGGGGTTTTCGAGGTTTCAGGCTTTAGTGTTCGAGTGGTTAGGGAGAATGGTCTCGGGTTTAGATGGTTGGGTTTTGGCATTAGTTACCTGAGTTAATGCTTAAACCGCTTAAACCCTAATCAGACCTAACGTACCGACGTCAACCAACCCTAGGCGCTAGGCCCTGAGCCACACGATTCATCCAGTTATCATGACTCACCACAATCAGGCGGAGCCACACTTCAGAATCTGAGCTCCCGACTGCGGTGCTTCTGGGCCCAAGCAAAATGCTTGAGCAGTAAACATTACTATTTCAGGGGGTCGCACAGCTGAAACAAACAAGCACCACTCAGACAAAACGAGCTACCTTGCGGGGGGGGGAGGGCGGGGGGGGGTTTATTAATCCCAAGTTCCCATTAAGGGCTTACGGTGACGATCTGACCTGGCAACTACATATGTCCACCTGCCTAAAGAAGACCTGTCTTATGTTTTGCAAATCAACGCATGAGATGGGGTCGCGATGCATGGAAATAGCACCATTTTTCAGCTCGAGCCCAAGGTGTCTGTCGGAGTAAAGATCATTTAACTGCACGATATCCGTGTGCTAATGTTGTGCTCATTGTACAAGCGCGTGACATCAAATCTGTAATTTGCGAGTAACTCAATTTCGCACTTGATAGTCAGGTAGCTTCACACCCGTCTTATGTCCGAGTGAGCAAAAGACGAGAAACCAATCAAACAACGTTTCAACTAGACTTGGCCAGTGTGACTGCGTAAGAAGTGTATAGCGATATGCGGATGAATTGCGGAGGGTTCATTGCGATATGATCTCCCGAAGAACCCGACTTCCCAGAAGTATCTCACGCAAGCCCGCCGATGGCTCTAGTTGAGGTTGCCCACTTTAACTTCGTGGTTAGTGGACTTTTGGTTCTTTTGGTCTTCATCGGCGATGGCATGGTCGAGAGTGCGACTGGACCTTGTGCTGGGTTTGTGGGATCTGGGGCCATAACCCTCGAGGCGTTGAAGGCTGCTCGGGCACAACTGGATAAGACACAACAAACCTTTGCAGTGACTGGGGCTCTTCAGTCAACTCAAGCTCAGAATGCTTCAGAATATGACGAACCCAGGCAGACCGCTGTGAAGGCAACATCCACATACCTCATTCCAAGAGGGTGCAGGGTTCCTTCCAGCGACCGTCAATCATGACCAATTTCTTGGGCCGCGCTGCGTGGACTCGGATCCGAAGCCGACGCCCAGTGGTCGCGCCGGAAGCCTTGGCAGAGCTGCGCCGACGTGCCTCCAACAGATGACGTAGACGCGGCCGATGACACGAGGTCGATGTAGCCCCAGCACTGCTTCCGCGAACGCCGGTGCAGCGCTCTAAGCCTGCGCCGACCCCTGGACTGCTCACGCGATGCAGCAGGTGCGTCAACTGCCCAAAGTGAAGAGGGGTTCAACACCAACACCAAGGCTGCTCGACTGACAGTCACTGCAATCGCAACGTCCGAAGAAGTGGGACCAGCCGACATGGCAACGAGGAGCGATGCTAGCAGGCAGCTCAAATTCGTCGGGCGACGCAAAGCTGAAGATGCTACGGACGGCATATGCGTCGATCGCCGAACCTGTCCCTGCGCACGCTACGTGTTACACCACAACGCCAAAAAACACGCAAAGCCAACAAGTTGAGAGGCAGAACAGGAAAGCCAATGCCAACAACGGCAAAGGCCTCAGTCCTTCCCGTCCTTGCCCTTCTCGCCATCTTCTGTAGCACCCTCTTCCTTTCCAAGTGACGCTTGAACCTGTCAAGAACAGCCACGCACCGAAACAAGGCAGTTACGACTAATGCACGACAGACCATAATGGCAAATGCACTGCAATGCCTCCTTCCACTGCCGAAAAAGGCCTTGAGCAAGCTGCACATTGTGCTCAACAGGCTCAGCAGAACTGAATGCCTTCAAGCAACCTTGTGCGTTGCTGCGGAAGCCCAAAGAAATCAAGAGCTCTTGGAACAACTTGATGCCTTCGCGCATGCCAACATCGGGTCACAAGTCACCGAGAATCTTAGAGAGCATTGTACAGTGAACTCATGGCAACTCACCTTTTTGAGCACATGCCGTGCGTGCCAGTTTGATCGCCAGTCGCTTGCTGGAGCTGTCGCAGATCTATTCGATGCTGTGCACCACCCTCCAAGCTGTCCCAGCATGTCAACGGTCCACATCAGAGGTGCCAACTTCAGGCGGCAGCCGCTGCAGCACGAACACATCACCCTGCAGAGGAAGGTCATCTTCCTTGTCTGCAGGTCTGCAGGTGGACGAACCGCTTTTAATGCTGATGCTGAACAAACACGCAGATTCAACGATCAGTTTAGGGCCACGACAATCCGAAGAGGAATGGTCTCTACTTCAACAAGCGCGAAGAGCTGCGATGCAGTCGCTGCGATGAAGGATCGAGTATGAGCGTATCGGCCGGACTCTCTCTGAACCGCTCCCTGCAGGGGCAAGCGCAAGTTCAGGATAAGTTGTTCATCGATATTTTTTCCGGACTGTATGAGCTACAGCTGTCTGCACGGCAACTTCTGAAGCAAGGACTTGGTCTGCAGATTTCGCGTAGCTGCACCTGCTAGTTTCCCCTGACAACAGAGCTTAATCTCTGCCCCCTTGCCACAGCTCATGTCTGAGTCTACGCAGCCTCGGAAGATTCCGCCTCGCATGCTGTCTCCGTTGAGAAAACGAAGATGCCATCCTTGCGCAGCACCCTGTGAGCTTGCAGGAAGACTTTGTCCAGCTGCAAAACGTAAATGAGTACGTCAGCAGCCACCAAGAGGTCCACACTGGCAGCCTCCTGGCTCCCAAGCACAGAAATCAAATCCCTCTGCAGCAGCTCGTCGTATCCGCCCGCTTCGCGGGCATGGGCCAACATCTGAGCCTCAAAGCTCCGCAGAAGCCCCGCCCGGCTGCCACTCAGTGCTTGGCAACGACTCGCGGACAAGAGGCTGACAGGTCGACGCCGACCAACTTCTCGATCTGCACGGATGCCTTCAGAGCTCGGCCACAAAGGCCAGTACCACAACCCAGGTCCATGCAGCAAGGAAATCGTCTCTCGAAGCTGGCCATCTTTGATGCGATGACCTGTCGGCGCCAGCAAATTTTGACTCGCTTTCACATCATCTCCCGGCCTCGGGCAGGTGATACTCCAAGGTGTTGACTAGGTGGTCTTCAAATTCCTCCGCATATTCGTCGAACTGCTCCTCCTTGAGGCGCACGGTCTCCACTCACTCCGCTTTCTTTGCTGGAAGCCTGCGCACTCAGCCAAGACTCGACTTCCAAGCGATGTCGAGTTTGAGCCACCAACTGCCTGAGATCACGACACGGCGCAGGGACTGACAGTGGGCTTGCAGCTAGGATAGCTAGGCGCAAGCGCCTTTTCCGCCAAGGCGCTGTGCCTTGGCAGCCCAGGAGGGTTCCGTCGGCATCTGCCGTCATTGCAGCCTCAGGCCGCGCCCTGGGCCCTGGCCCGGCTTTGCCATGGCGAAAACGAAGTCACGAACTGCCCCGCCCGGCCCTGTGGCCCTTCTCCTATGGAAGAGCCAAAAGTGCACTGCAGGTGTGCGCGCCCCGCAGATACTTTTCATTCTCAGATCTGTGGGCCCTGCATTTCCCGTCCAGGAGACCTTTCTTGCCTCGAGGAAACAGGACTTACGGCATGCCAAACACGTGAAACGAATCAGTTCATCACCGTCAGTCTGACGACCTGCCAAGATGCCATAGGAGTTCCAAGCTTCCTGGACAAGGCAGTAGATGTAGACGATGAGGCTTGTCACCTTTGTGGTACTTGCAGCACAATCTACAAATTCACGCCGTCACCGAACTTTCTCTTCACGGCATGAACAAGCATCGGACATTAAGGGGAGTCAGCTTGTGACGCAAACACTCTACACTTGCTGAAGTGGGCCCGCAGCCAGATCTGCGCACATCATTTCTTGGCATGTGACCTTGGGCTGAGCCTCTGGGGGCAGCCTGTCCAGCTGCAGCTTCTTCAAGGCCTGCAGATCGCAGGATGATCCCTAGAGTACTCCTACGAATAGGACTCAAGATCTGAAATTGTTAACCAGTGAGGCCAATACGATCCGAAGGTTTTTCACAGCCTGCAAAGAATGCAAAGCTTTTTCTCGCACAAAAGTCGTGGTGCTACCTGCTCTGCCCACCTTGACGATGACCAACACTTGCGTCTCTGGTGTCTTGAATGCATTGGCGAGCGCGGGGAAGCCGACAAAACTGCCAGGCGGCACTGTCACTTGCGAACCCTTTTTGCGAGTACAGGAGCCTTGGTACGACTCGGTTGAATCCGATCAGCAGATCTAGCAGGTCCTGCTCATCATGAGTCATGAAGTCAGGAGGAATGCAACACGAGCTGCATCACAGTTGGACGCGGATTTGCGGTTCGAGCCGCCTTCTCGAGTTTCGACACATCTGGGGCCTGACAAGAGTTCAACGAGACAAAGACAATGCACCCCACAGCAAATCCAGCAAGTACATGCCGCGCTCCTCCGCCAGAGCATCCACGGGCTTCTCCCAGTCTGCGAGTTGCTGCGCATCCAGCGCCTGCCAGAGTCTCCGGCCATGTGCCGAAAAGCAAAACAAATCCACTATCTGCCTGTGTCTTCTCGATTTCCTTCTGGCGGTTCTTCTCCAGAATCTCCTGAAAGACCCGAGATGCCCAGAGTTTCCGGTAGCTTGGCGCTATCAAGAAACACCTGCGTCTTCTTGCTGACTTTCTCTTCTACTGGTTTCTTCTTCGCCTCACGATTGCGGGTCTCTGTGTGGGAGTCAGAGACGAGGGTATGCGCTTCATGCAAGCATTCATATGGTAGTAGATGCTGCTGGTGCCGACGGTTTCCACAATACTAGCACGGTCCTTCGAGAAAACCGCTGCCAGCATGACCTGGCCTCCTTCTTATCTTCCTTCCTCTGATCGCACTTGACGGATATGATGGGCAGATGCAACTTGTCTGAACCTGAACAGATTCGACAGCAGGCATCGGCAACGAATGCAAAGCTGAAGGAATCTGACGAGTCGAACGCCAAAACAAATTTCGAGATCTGTGGGACAGCAGACATCGAACACAGCCAAGGCCTGTTAGCGATTTCGAATATCGATGAAGGGCTCTCAAGGCCTTGCACCGAAGAACAAGCGCGTTTGACATTCTGATAGCACATACAAACTTACTGGGCCCCACCACATGCCACAGAACGAGGCAGCAACCTTCTGCCGTTTATTCATCTCCAATTTTCTCTGGTACTCTCGATCCTCGACGTATGCACGTCAATTTGAGAGCACATCCTATTCTCCCACAATGGCATTGTCTCACACACAGGCAATCAGCATTGCCTTGTCGGTAATCTTCTTCTTCTCCCTGTAGCGAATGCACACCGGCCGATTGCGAATGGAGCCCAACTGCACACAGCGTTGCCTCATCTTTTGTTCCATCCTCTTCTCAGCCTCACTCTTCTCCATCTCTTGTACCTGACAACACTATTTATTGCTTTTCTGCCGACGAGGCTGTCCGTATGTAAATCGGCCTCTTGGATTGCATCCACTCTGGCACCTTGTTTCCATTCATACCTGTGCACAAACCGTCTGCTACCCTCCGATAGGCGCGGTGTGAAAGTGCGGATACGGCACCTCTCCCAAAGCAAACCGGCATCCCCTGGTTCATCCTGCGTATGGAGCACGTTGCAGCAGCAGCATCGGCGCCAAGCACCATGCACAAGATGCCATGATCTTCCGTTGATTTAGCTGCTGAGATCAAGACTTCGTCATTTTCCTTTAGATTGTCTGCTTTCTCCTGTCACGCCGCAAGTGTTTTCGAGTTCCGACTGGTCAGGCGGTGACCAAGTGTCCTTCCACATGGCATCAAAGAGCCCCGACCTGAATTGGCTTAGCTGGCTGCATGAGTGCTTCCAATCTAACTGGCTTTCGCTTGCGAGGGCCGAGGGCCCCGAACTCAATCTTGTAGAGCGTGGGTCTCTCCCGGACACGTGCCTGGCACCAGACAGCTGGCTGTGCTTTTGAGCAAACTTTGGAGCTCATGCTGCGGCGGCCAGTTCGGGAAGCTGCGGCGGCTCCAGACCCGGCAGGTCCTGGCGATGTCATCGCACTGTTGGTGTCTTAGTCTTAGTTGGGTTTCAAGCAGGTTTGCTTGGCGTCATCCTTCATTGCAGAAAGCTTCAGTGGGAAGAACTTCTCTTTGGACGACGCCTGCAAGCAATACGACACCCAAGGACACACTCGGCGTTGCTTTACATATGGAAGCGCGACGCTGGTTGATCCTGCTATACCCTGCGTACCGTGCGGCCTCTGACCACAAGAAGTCCAACTCCTCGACAATGTATGAGCTGAACTGGAAGACGTCTGCCTTCACCTTTTATCCGGTTTGAGCGTGGCTCGAACATCTAACTTCATCTAAGTTCGGCGAGTGGCCTCTTTGCTCTTCTCGGATAGACCGGTCGCAACCTCTGGCTCAACGATTGCATTTAGAGGAAGGGCCGCTGCAACTGTCTCTCAGGTGTGGGCAACAAATCGGAACAGATGTCGGAAGAGACGGCCTCTTCCGCAAACAGTGCTGATGGCCACGTGTACTGTCTGCACTGTGCTTCTGGCCATCAAAGAGATCGCAAGAATCCAGCTTCAAGTCCTGAGCCGCATCGGCGCTTTAAGGTTTAAGTTATCAGGATTACGGCTGAGACAATTCACCAGCCTGCAGCTCCGTTTCTGGTTGCTTATTCAGCCTTCCGAGCTCCTGTCAACATGCCGCTTGCGAGGATGACCAGACTTGAAATCAGCTTGCCAGCTCCTTGGACACGAATGCGTAAAACCTCGCGAGCTGGATCAACTCAATATGGCTCACTGTAAGTTGTCGCAGCTTGATTCGCCTAAAATCTAAGTCAATGGGTCAGAAGGAAACATGCCATCTGTTTGTCGATCTGTGGCGTCGCCTCCATCAGGTTGTCCCCGGCTCACTCGGTTGTTACTCCCGCCTCAAACTCCCGGCACCTCTCCACTCCAAGATCCGGTTCTTGCGTTGTCCACAAGCTGACGGCGTTTCTCTTCGGGCGATTCCCAGAAGCTGTGGCACTTCTCTGGGTGTGGCCTGAATGCCCTCCGCTTCACAGATGTTGCCAGGTTTCTGGCGGCACTCCTCGAGGTCGGTTATTTCCCTTCTCGGAAGCTGCGCCGCTCTCGTATCTTTGCTGACAGGCCGGTTGTCAAGAGACGCAAGTGACGAACTAGTTCACTGTCCCATCTCCCGCGTGCCTTCCAGAGACATGTTCGGGCATGTCTGGGGTTTGCTGGGAACACGTAGCCAGAAATGTCAGACTGTCAACTCTTCTGTTCCCCTCTGACACTGTCACGCGTCGGGCCTGTCGAGTGCACCACTGATGGATTCAGCGTACAACTCCCACTCGTCACCGGGTATTGTTGTGAACCTTGGGAGTTTGCAATAAATTCGTCAGGATGAGCAGTGCTGCATATCTCCGGATTGGGATCTCTACGCTCTCTTGTCCAAGGGCACGTAGCGTAGCATCATCTCCTCGCGCTCGCAGCCGCCCTCCCCGAGCAAAAACGCGAGCATCGTGCCGCAGTCTCCAAGTCGTGCCAAGCAGATGGAGACAACGCTGAATATCGGTGAGTAACTACATGTCTCGAAAGATTCAGAAACCACAATGCACCGTTCGATCAAGCAAAAAGTTGCTGCCATGTCCTGGATCAGCATGACCTTAACGAAGAGCTTCATCAGCGCCATCCTTGGACAGCAAAGTTTTGGGGGGAACCATCTGGTCACGGGGGGGACAACCATGGCCCTGAGCCGTGGGGCAAGTGGCACTGGTGAAGAAGCTGAACGAGGAAGGGAGCACAGGGGAGGGAGGGAGCGAGGGAGGGAGGCAGGCAGAGGTCATGCATTTGAGGGAGTAACATTGTGTTTTGTGCATTGCTATCAATGCTCAGTCCAGATCATGCCTGCTGGGCTTTTATGTTGCCAAAACACCACCCCTGAGTCATGGCACCGGCACTCCTGAAGACCTGAAAATTCACTCCTTTTGATGCTCGCAAAGGGCTGCAATCATGGCACATTTGTGCGTGTCGTCCTTATGCAGTGGTCATGCAATCCCGTGCACTCTGCTCTCATGTCTGCCTACACAGGCAAATGCAGGCGCATTCCATGGGCCATGGGGGTAGCTACAGTCTAACATGCCCCCTCAGTTCCTGGTGTTCCACCGGGAACTGCCCTGCTACCTTCAGCGCCGCTTGCGCTTTGGCTTTTGGCTAAAAATGGTACAGGCCAGCCTCAAGCGCACGCCGCACCGTTGTGCGGTCGGTCCTCCGGGAGCTTCTCGTGAAGGAACTGCAGGTAGGGAGGTGGTAGCTGTGGCCAAAGTTGGGGGCGTACATCACCTCCCTGTCAAGGTCCACTTGGCCAACCCACATGGTCCCACGAATGGTTGGGACCGAAAAAGTAGCCGCCTCCCTGGGTGTTGGCGTCCTTGGCTTGAAGACTGCCGTCTGGTACACCAAACGCGGTGCATGCTCTGGGTCCTTGTGGCCACCAGTGCTCTGGCCGTCGAGGGTGTCCCGGGGCTGCTTGGCGTTCTGGGTCTCGTCGGCCTTCTGGGTCTGCTTGGCGTTCTGGGTCTCGTCGGCGTTCTGGGTCTCGTTGGCGTTCTGGGTCTCCTTGGCGTTCTGGGTCTCCTTGGCGTTCTGGGTCTTCTTGTTGTGCTGCATCCCCTTGTGGTCGGGGCCATTGTGGGCGTAGCCAGGCCCAAGCCCTTCATCCATGCCCTGGCCGATGTGGATGCTCACGTGCCAGCGCACACTTGCGAGGCACCTTCCAACCACAGCCACCAAGAGCGCCGCAAGGAGGAACATCAGGATCGCCGCCGCGGGGTTCTCGCCGAAGAGCTCCGCCAGGAAGAGGACGAGGGTGCCTCCTTCCGCGGGGCCGCAGCTAGTGGCCAGCAGCAGCTGCACCATTCTCAGCGTCCTCGTGTTCATCCCGGTCGCCTTCCGCAGCTCATCGGTGAGCTCGTCCTTGCCCAAGCGCTCGCCATCGTCATTTACCATGCCGGCAATGCCACTCAGCATTCGCAGCCGGCCTGCTGACAAGATCTTCGTGCCCATGTCGGTGGGGTTCTTGCTGGTCCCGATGGCCGCGACCTTCAGCATCTTCTTGTGGCCACTGCTGGATCCACAGGCTCGAGGTTTGCAGGTGTTTCACCCTGCCCACACCAAGGCGATTCGAAATCGCCCTCGCAACCGAAGAGTCGGTGCGTGCCACGTGGTCTGCCTCAGCTCGCGTGAGAAATTCCCACGCTTTGTGGATCAAGATGCTTTCGCCGACCGTTTGGGTCAAGGCCACCAGCTCGGCTCCGCCCGAGCTAAGGGGAACCACCTTCTGGCTGCGAACAAAGGAAAACATCAGACACTTGTCGATGTACACGTGGCCGCTCGAGAGGCTCTTCCGGGTGTTGCGGTCCGTCGCGAAGTTGCTGTCACTGACCGCTTCCACCAAGTGCTTGCCATAGGGGCGGCTGGCATCAAAGTTCATGATCGAGGCCCCTTTGGTCGCCTTGAGGTTCACCCCGTGGCCCTCGGCAGCCTTCATAAAGCCAGCCAGGTGCTTTAGCACCCGAAGTGCCCCCTCAGTCGGTGCAGCCGCCCGGGAAGCCAAAAACTGGATCACCGCCAGGTCGGGGCGCTCGCCGGCAATGTAGAGAAGCTTGCCGACCACGGTCCTGAAAAGGGTCGCCTCGCTCCGCCTGAGCTGGTCGGAATCATCGACCATAAAGAGGTCGCCCACCGTGCCGGGTGTCTGTCGCAGCCGGGGCTGCCCCAGGACGCCGCGCGCACCGTGATCGAATCCGAAACCGGCGCTTGAGGAACTCAAACTCCCCGGGCAGGACGGCCCGTTCACCTTGATGGTGTAGACCTTGCCCAGGCTGTCCAGGACCGTGTTCACCACCTCCAGGTCCCCAGTCATCGTGGCCTCGTCGACGTGAACCTGGGCCGCCTTTTGGTCCTCGGGGTCCTTGGCCCGATAGAGCGTCGGGACCTCTATCATCGCCTCCAGGCCTTGTCTTTTACGTCGCACACCCACAAGGGTGTGCCCCAAGCCTGTGCCAACACGGCCATGTGCCGCAGAAGGGACCCAATGGACGCTGGCGAAAAGGTGTCATCGGCGTCGATGTCGTTGGCCCAACGGTATTGCGCCACCACGTGCCCTTCTCGCCCTCCCATGTGGTAGCGAAGGTGGTGCTGAGGAGTTCTGCCTCTTCGCCCGCGACCGACTCGATCAGCACGCCCATGCCAATGAGCCGCTCGATCTCTTCCACCTCCGCCATGTCGGGGGCGAGGTCCGGCGGCTGGTCGGCATTGTCCGTCACGATGTGCTCTGGGCTCTGCGTGTCTCGTCTGGGCCTGCATGTCTGGGTCCAGCTCGTTCGTGGCCAAGCCTGCTGCATACTCTTGGGTCCGCTTGGTGCTGGTCTGTGCGTCTCCTTGTGCCTCCTCTAAGGTTCGCTTGGTGCCGGTCTGTGGCTCAGTTCTCGCTGGGTTGACGCTCAGCTCCTCCTCCTCGGCCTTCCGCTTGCTGCCCTGGCTGGGCTCACTCTGGGCTCCTTCTCCACCTCCGGGCCGCCGCTTGGGTGACGGCGGTGGGCCGTCACCTTTGATCATCTTCTCCGCAATCTCCTTGGCTGCCTCCTCCACCGCGTTGGCCTCCTCATCTGAAGACGGCCCGTGCTCATCATCGTCCCTCTCGGGCGGGGCCGCCACCATGGGAAACGCCACCGCCACCGGGCCGATCTTCTTCCCCATCTTGGGTCGTAGCACGGCGCTGCTTGACATCCACGGCAGCCCACAAAACTTGCTGGGCGGCTGCTGCTCGGCCGCTCGTCTCACAGGCTGCCTCGATCGCGCCCTTGTCGGTGAGGATGTTGCGGGTGCCGTTGGCGGGGTTCGGCCCGGCCCAGGCTCCAGCGATCCACTGGGCGCCGCCTTTGTAAGGCGTCACCATCTTGCCATAAACGGTTTCCCCGAAGATGCAGAGTTTGCTGGCATACGGTTTTCCCCCGAACGCCGCCTCGTACGGGGTGAGCTGCATATGAGGACATACATTTTCCTGTTGTGCAAGACGGCCGCGTGCTGCTGCGACCACAGGCGTATGTCACAGCCAACGGGCATCTTCCCGTGGGTTTCTTCCAGGGTTTCCATCAAAGTGTTCGACAATCTCCTGATGGTTTGAATTGCTCGCTCCACCCCGCCATTGGCCTGATGATCCCCCGTAGGGGTCGTCCTCTGGGTCGTCTTTCGCTTCAGGCTTGCTCGAGCCTCGGCCGTTGTGCGCTCGGCGTCCGACTGCAAGACGATCTGGTCCTGGTCGTGGAGGGCCAGCGTGAACCTGAGCAGCTCCTCCGCATAGCACTTCAGGGCTGGGCCGCCCTTTGCCAAGCCAGCCACAGCCAAGACCATCTGCGTGTCGAGGTCGACGGCCACCAAGTTGCAGGAGTGCTCGGGCAGCCTGCCCTCGGGGTCCACAGATGTAAAAGAGAAGTCGATCGGGGTCCGGTTAGTCTCCCTGCGTCGGCCGTGGCAGTCTCCTCTGGCACGGGTTTTCATCCGTCTCGGAGGGAACCTCGGCTGGCGCCGCCACCGGCACCGGGGCTCTGTCAAGAACCTTCTTCGCCTCCTTCGCCAAGGTAGTCGCGTGGCTGCTCGGCTGCTGCTCCTTGTGGCTGCTCTGGTGGCCTGTCTGGCCCATCTGCCGCGCTGCCCGCGGTGTTCTCGGCTGCTGTGGGGCTTCCGCGGCCGCCGCGCCAAGGAAGTCCACGTCGTCATCCGCGGGGCCAAAACAGGGTGATGCACTCGCAGCCGCGGTTGGCAATCGGCCCGAACGGAAGGGCCTCGTAGTTGTAGTCGGCGCTGTTCTCGATCTGGATCCATGTGCCGCTCACCTTCCGCACCAGGGTGGTCCGGGCGGCATCATACCAGTACCTCTCGTCCAGCAACCGGTACGCCTGGGACGAGTAGTGGCTTGATGCCGTGGGGCATGCCCTCGCGCCCGACGATGTCCTGGAGGTGGCCGGGAGTTTGATGTGTGGGGGCGCCGGTGGCAAAGTCCTCGGGTCCTCGGCGGCCGGGGTCGCGGTGACGCTCCTGATGTGGCCTCGCAGGGCCAGGCTGTTACCTTGGCTGATCTCCCAAAGGGGTCTTGGAGCTTGACCTCGCCGTCGTTGATCACCTGCCACCCTCGCCGCAACAGCTTCCCAATGGCAAGCAGCGGGACCTGCGCGTTCCCCACCACACATTGCTCTTGAACAGCAAAGTGCCGCCCGTCGCCGGCCGCAAACCAAAAGTCAAACTTGCGGTGCGTGCCTCCATCTATCCTGTTGCCTGGGCGTCTTGGAGCACAGGTGGGCTCCCTTCTGCCGGGGTGCCGCGCTCGCCAAAGGCATATAGGGCACCATGCTGGCGTCGGCGCCGGAGTCGAGGAATGATCACGGCGTCCTCCTCGCCCTCGATCTCCCCGGCCGCCGCGGTCACCATCTGCACAAAGAAAGGGCGGCCGCCCGAGCGCAAAGTCCGCGACGGTGTCCTCCGAGATGTCGAAAATCTCCATGTCGGGCGCCGTCGGGGGAGCCGATAGTGCCGGTCTCCTCCTGCACCTGGCGCACGCCTTTGCCGCCAGGCTGGTTGTACCAGCAGTCTCGCATATAGTGGCCCTGCTTGCCGCAGGTGTGGCACTTCACGT